AAAGTTTTGTTTTTACTTTTTAAAATATTGCACCCTCCTCCAGCCCTGCATGTACTTATTCATTTATTTTAGCTGGCATTGTACTAAACTGCATTTCGTTGCCCTGTACCTGTGCATGTGCAATGACAATAAAGTTGAATTCTATTCTATCAGCCAGATCTGTACAATTAATACAATTTTAAACTCAATCACAATTTTGGTTTCCAACAATCATATGAGCACGATCAAGCGATATTTAAAAAGCATGCTCTGTTGACCAAGTCAGCCGCTGACCAATTATCACAGCTGTTCCCTGAACCACACAGCTTGAAGTTTCTTGGAATAGTCTGAACAAATACACGGCATCAGAGACAGGACGGAATTACAGACTTTATATTATTTGTCTGCAAAGACTAATTTATTAGCATAATGTAGCACAATGTAAAGGTGAAATGAAGTGAAAGTGTCCTTCTGAATTAATTTTGTGCTACATTTTGGTGTGTTCTGTTTTTCTTACATGTATTTTCTACTTTTCTTCTAAGAGATGCTCAGCTCAATAATGAAGAGATGTTATATTTGTGCTAAGATTTATACAGACGTTGAGATGTGAAAGCAGTATTCAATTTATATGACAGTGCAATAAAAAGACACTTTGTCTCTAAAGACTTTTAATAATCACTACAAATAAAAGTAATTTCAAGACTGAACAAAATAATTGTGATAATCATTCATGCCATAATCGTGCAGGCTTAGTGTGGTGTGTCAAGGGCAGCGTGATAAGGGGTCATTTGCAATGACAAGCAAACAGGATTTTCACCTGACTGTGCAGGCGCCTGGTTTCTGTTGGCTCGATGAATGTAAGTCACACATTCACTCTCCTTTTAACCTAGTTTGGCCTCCTAATGAGCCCAATGAAAGGAATCCAAACAGTAAACAAATGAGTAACCTATAAAATCCATGAAAATCCAGACACAAAACCATGTGACTGTTTGACTAAATAAAAATGCTCATTAAGGCACCATTATTCTCTGTTACTCCCCTTACCGTACTTTTTTCAACAAGGCTATGTCAAAGAGTGATTTTCTTTTTTTTCCCCCAAATTGACCGACAGCAGCTTTTTAACTGCACCGACACAAACACACAGACACATCAACATCTTAGTGACCTGCAGGAAGATGGCAGAGTCCTTCTGGTACAGCTTCACTAGCTGCAGGTTGGCGATGGTGTCGATCACGCCCATGGCTTTGCCAGCCAGCGCCATGGCGATGGACAGCAGTATGACGTGGTGACATAGTGGTATGACGGCAAACACCAGCGAGATGATGAGGGTGCAGATGAAGAGGGCTAAGAGCGAGGACTTAAGGCTAAAAAAAAAAAAAAAAAAGAGGATAGAATACACATCCTGTGTACACATGATAGAGTTTTGTTTGAATAAATAAACTTCCTATGCTCTACTAACCTAAAACTACAGGAAAATACCAACAATAATCCTCCGCCTACATTCACACCTACTTACTGCTGCAGTAAAGTCACCTTGATGGTCTGTCGCTTAAAACTTATTTACCTAGCCAAAATTATCACAGCCACCCCC